ATCTATCTATCTATCTATCTATCTATCTATCTATCTATCTATCTATCTATTGTCAGATAGAAAAAAGGACTATCACCTTGGTTCTTGTAATAAGGGTGTTGCAGCTTCTGACAAAATATTGACCTAAAAAGAAATCAAACCTATTAGAAGGAAGTCCTTCCCTGAAGTATATGAATAACATCTTGAGAGCCATACGTTCTTTTTCACTTTCACAGAGATTATTTTCATGCTTTTAATTTTTTTTATTATAATATATGACCAGTGCTCTTTTTCCCCAAGCTGCTCAAAAACCTGCATGATACATTAGGAGAAACACTAATTTATACAGATGAATATGACAGTCATCTTCATATGTGAAAATGTAGAGCAATTCTGGGATTGATATCATTAAAAAAAACTATAGGTGCAAAGTTATCTCCTTATTGGTGAAGCAATTTGAGATTAGGCAGTGTTGCCCTTACAACTAAAGGACTACCACATCTAGACTACAAAACTCCTGATGACCACTACATGGTAGCCAAGAGTGGTTGTCCAGATCTTTGCAGCCCAGCTATTTTAGCCTTACAATCTCATATCTCATCTGAAGCTTCTCAGTTGTTGGGGAAGGAACAGACTTGACTGAACTCTGAGTTGTTAAGGGTTTTTTGTTTTTGTTTTTGTTTTTTAATGCAAACACAATCAGGTACACAGTTCCTAATTACCCTGACTTTTATGCTGGAAGTAAGTAAGGTGACTCATGCTTTTACGATAAGAGATATGATAGGAAACAGCCTGATTACAGAGAAGTGCTTGAGATGGGGGAGGCTGCAGAAATCATACATTAATTGGATCAACCTCACGATACAATTTATCTTTCTGTGTAATTATGCATGCATTTCTGTGTGCCTTCATTTCCTTAAATTAACATAGGGTGGCAAGAGAAAACCAAAGTATTCCCTAAACAGCAATAATTCCCCATATTATTTAAAATTTCAGAATAAGAAATAAGGAAATGTATAAACATCGGAAATCAGGAATATTGCTGCAGCCAGATTTTCTTAATTACATAGCTTTAAAGTATTCCCAGTCTCACCTCTTGTCCCATTCACCTCCAAGGAACTGGCTTCATAACTAGATTAGGATCACAGTTTGTGTCAGACTTCATCAGTAGAAGTCTTCATTTTATGCCATTGTCTCCTTGTTTATAAGCACTTATTTTGTCTAAGACCATTTTCTCTTTCAAGCTAACAACAGAAAGCTTACATATTGTAAAATATCAGATCCATAAATGATCATGCAGTGAGATATTGCACAAATATGCTCAGAATTATACCCTTCTAAATTTTATCCTTACTCCCAAGCAAAAGTGCAGCCTTAGGGCATATAGCTCCAAAATTCGAATAAGGGAGGGAGAGGGACTTTCTACTTAAGTTGGAAGGAATACTCATATTCATGTCAAAAAGCCATCTTAAGGCAATAGTTAAGGTCACATGAAATGCACAATTAATGAGGAAATATATTAATTAATTACAAACAAATGGTATTAATACATTTATGAACCCATCTTTCCTGGGTGGGTGGGTGGGTGGGTGGAAGGAAGGAAATGAGATATCAGAAAGAGCTACTCCCCCC